AAGAACAAGATTATATATTAGCAAAAAAAAAATCGTATTAAAAACCACTCTGAAGATGAGGTAGAATTTAGTCTGAATTGTTAATCTGATTTTGAATGTGAAAATCGAGAACATTAAGCCCCACTTTTCCCGACATTTTGACATAAGTTTTAAAAATTTAGGAGTCTGAATTGAGACTGAAAAGGCTTGAAGAATATACCTTCTTGAGTCCCATACGCGTTTTGTTTGAGGGAGTCAAAATTGGAAAAAAAAACAATTATCCGAATCTCATTCACATTTAATTCCGAAAGGTTCAAACCCTATTCCAACAACATCTTTCAGTTACAGATTTGGTCATAGTTAGTCTTCAATTGTCAAATTTGTCGTTAAAAAGTTGGTCTAAAGAAAAAAAATTACACAACACAAGAAATATCCCAACCAAGAAAAAAAATTTTGTTCCTGGTCAGATTCGAACCCGCGACCTCTACTGTCCAGGCGTATTCCTTGCCACGTGGCTAAGTGTGCAAAAGACACTACAAAATTTGAATTCCTTAAGAACCAAGGTGCATCAGAGTACATGGAGTCCTGTGCTTAGAGTGGTTTACGGGAAAAAAGTCCAGTACCTGATGGTAACACCCTTGCTTATCACCAGGGTAATAATAGCTTCCGATCAAAAACGAAAACCAAAAAGTTTCGTGAGGTGAAATTACCAAAAAAATTCTAACTGCAAAGGTAAACAGGCAAACTCAAAAAAAAATAACAAACAAATTGATTGAAAAAAAACAGTCGATTCATTCAGACGGAAAAAATGCAAAAACACGATTAAATATTAGCAAAAAAAATCGTATTAAAAACCACTCGGGAGATGAGGTAAAATTTAGTCTGAATTGTTAATCTGATTTTGAATCTGAAAAACGAGAAAATTAAAGCCTACTTTTCCCGACATTTTGACAAAAGTTTTAAAAATTTAGGAGTCTGAATTGAGACTGAAAAGGCTTGAAGAATATACCTTCTTGAGTCCCATACGCGTTTTGTTTGAGGGAGTCAAAATTGGAAAAAAAAACAATTAATCGAATCTCATTCACATTTAATTCCGAAAGGTTCAAACTTTATTCCAGCAGCATCTTTCAGTTACACAGTTTGTCATGAATTGTCTTTAAATGTCAAATTTGACGTTAAAAAGTTGGTCTAAAGAAAAAAAATTACACAACACAAGAAATATCCCAACCAAGAAAAAAGTATATGGTCCTGGTCTGATTCGAACCCGGGACTTCTACCGTCCCAGGCGTACTCCTTGCCACAAGGCTAAGTGTTCAAGAGACACTACAAAATTTGAATTCATTATGAACCAAGGTACATCAGAGTACAAGGAGTGTGCTTAAAGTTGTTTACGGGAAAAAAAGTCCAGTACCCGATGGTAACACCCTCGCTTATCACCATGGTAATAATAGCTTCTGATCAAAAAACGAAAACCAAAAAGTTTGGAGAGGTGACATTACCAAAAAAAAGTTCCAACTGCAAAGATAAACAGGCAAACTCAAAAAAAGAAAAACAAATTGATTGAAAAAAAAAAACAGTCGATTGATTCAGACGGAAAAAATGCAAAAACAAGATTATTTATTAGCAAAAAAAAATTGTATTAAAAACCACTCGGGAGATGAGGTAGAATTTAGTCTGAATTGCTAATCTGATTTTGAATCTGAAAAACGAGAAAATTAAAGCCTACTTTTCCGGACATTTTGACATAAGTTTTAAAAATTTAGGAGTCTGAATTGAGACTGAAAAGGCTTGGAGAATATACCTTCTTGAAAACAATGCTGTATGAGATAACGTAATTAAACCTTGGAAAAAAACGGAAAATGAGCCAAAAAAATTATGACCAAAATTATAGATAAAAAAAATCTGACCTTTTTTTCAGAAGGTTTTTTTCATTTATAGAACGTCATATGCACTAGGTAATTTTGAATGTCCAAGAAACTGATTAAGTCAGCATGCACTTGCACGTGTCAGCAAATGCACGTATTTCTTCCAAATTTGTGAAAATTGTTCAATGGAATAAGTCTAGTTCCCGATTACAAAACACTTGTCCTCGCAAGTGAACATACGTTATATCAGAACCACTATTTAATCGATCATCTTTGCTTTCTATATGAATGTGTGTTATGTCCATTTCTTGAAATCAGAATGTGGTATCTACAAAACTAAATTTTTCATTAGGTGGCACTCTAAATTATAAACATATAAAGCATAAACTACAAAATGATGACGAACATTGCTGTATCGATTTAAAATTGCTTTTGAATCCATATATAATCTAATCATATCGAAACTTTAAATAATCAATCAGACAGATTTTTCAAAATAAAAATAAAACTGCACAATAATAAGCACTTATAAAGTATTTCATCAAACAGTCGCATAAGTTCTAAGGACTATCGAGATGTGAAATGATACCATCATCGACGCTGATTCCCGAAAACTGTTATATGCTTGGAAAATTTTCTTTCGCCTTGTTAGCTGCTTTTGGCCCTGATGAAACACTAGACTAAAGAAAAACATGACTTTCATATTATAAACAGCGAACAGATTTGGTACCTTGGCTTGGCTAAAAAATGTACTGCAATAGATTAGTGAGAAGATGACAATTCGTTGTGGGCTGTAACCTCACTTTGTTTTCTACGTAGAACTCTTGATACTTCCTTGATTCGACGAAAACAGTGGAGCTCAACTCACAGTCAGTCAGTGGCCGATTCATACCTTCTGTCCGGCTCCACATTGACGTCCATGTTACTTCCGCATATCCGTTCATCAACAAGCCCATATACGTATCCTCCAAAGGTAGACAAGGTACTTTGTAATGTGACTTGTTTAAATGCTTTATCGAATCCATTGACAGAATTGTAGCACCACCGAATACAAAAGGTGGAAATAATCCATCTTTATAGATTACTGGGGAGATATAGAATTTATTGTTCGGGTTTCTTCGCGGGAACCTGTTTGCGTTTGACATGCCAATATATACTCGCTTTCGGGGACTACTTTGAAGCAATGATATTAATTTGATTGGGTTATAAAACATATCATCATCCATTTTCAGCACAAAATCGGCAGTTTGGCAAAACTGATTGGCATAAAGTAGCCCGAACATCATTTTTAGGGTGAGGTTTCTATAGCTATCAACAAAATCCCCGATGACAACATCATCATGGGTTAGAAACTCTTTTTCAATGGCTAGTAGATATTCCTTGTTTGTGCGCCCAATTACAAACTGATGGCGAATCAACATTTCCACTCCCAGAGACTTTGCAACTCCGACTGTTTCTTTAAAAAGTTTACGAAGGTTATTTCTAGAATTCGCCTCACGAGGAGTACTGTGTATGCTGATATAAAGCTTCATAGTTTTCTTTTCAGTATGACTGAAATCAATGCAGGGTCTACTTGAACCCAAAATTACTGACTTCTTTCCATTAAAAACATTGCAAGCAGGTACGTGCCAACTTAAATCAGTATTCATGGCCACGTTGTAATTTCTCTGTAGAGGATTATCTGTAACCATGTGATAAACTGAGAGCATGATACAAAACATGATGGCCAGAAAAGTTATTAGTAGACGCATCAGCAGACTTTGTCTCAGTAGTCGACCAATAAAGTGGCACAAAATCCATCTTAAATTGCTACAGCGACCAATTTTTGAACAAATGTGCACTCCAGGTGACATCAACCTGAAATTTTTATTTGATTGGAGGACCGTGTTTAACGAGCAGTTTTTTATTCGAATGCGGTCATAAAGCAATTTTTCACTAGTTTCGGCTGATTTTTGATGAATAATTGGCGTTCGTCGTCAACTAAGGCAAAAAACTTACGTACCATGAAGTATCAAGAACAACGATCGATGCAAATTTACATAAAGAGTAAGCCAACGACTTAAAAGGATGAACAAGTCACTAAAACAATCAATCAGACAAACCTAACAAATACTGCGAAGTATTACAGAAATTGCAACACCGAATTGTTTAGAAAACATCAGTTCAGGTCAAATAAGGACAAGGGGGACTGATCGTTTAGCAGACCTATCTTTTAGCATAAAAAGTAAAAAATGAGTCTTTTAGCTGACCAACGGATTAAAGTGATGCATGATTGATTGACAAAATTGGAAAGATGCTCCCGCCTTGCGTCAAGCCTCTCCAATTCAAACAATGAGCACATCATCATAGGCAGTTTCTGTGAGCAGTTAGTCCTCTCTTCGAAGCCCAACATGGTGACGCTCGGTTTTATTTGTAATTCAATTTTCTGTAGCAAGTGCTCAGCAATAATGCAACAGTTATTTATACAATTATCTCACGATTTGTCAACAAAACTATCAACTTCAAAAGCTTCAATTAACAGCAAAACAAAGATTTACGAGGACAATAATAGATAGATAGATAAAAAAGACTTAAATTACCTTTTATGGGGTAAATCAAAAACAAATTGAGTTTAAACGAGTTGTTAGAAAAGTTAAGATTGAAAAGTTATCTGGCCGTTGTTTGGCCGAAGTTAATATGTGCCGATTAAAATCGCATCGGAGCAAGCGGTTGCTAATCGCCAATGCCGGGTTTGAAGTATGCGATCTGATTTGCTAATTATTCTGAGTGTGCTTAAAAATTGCTCTGCTAAAAAACCAGTCAGCTAAAATCCATAGCACCGGACAAGGGCAATCGGAAAGTCGCAAAGACAAAGCAAGCAGCAGGCTGAAACAAATGCGGCAAGTGACTTATCGTCCCTTCGTCCCATCTTTGAACATCTGTAACAATAGCATACTGAGAAACAAGGATCGACACTTTCAGTGCAAGAAGCACATATTCTTCCTTGATGGTCAGAAATTATCATGGTAACCCAAGTTACTCTAAGCGACTCTACGAATATCCATGATTTCAATGTCCTATGTGTCTTAATGTTTCAAATAGAACTAAGTCAATAAAAATTAAATAAAATACTTTATTATATTGAAACAAGAGCTTTGGGACTACGTAACCAAAGCCAACACGTAACCTTAGCCTAATTGTTGTGATAAACTTATTAAATAGTTTCATATTTTGAGTATGCGAACCAGACGTGCAGACTCAGTATCCACAACGGATGTTGTCACAACGGTTAGCGGAAACTGTGCGAAATGCAAGAAGACTGGATAACCTGGATCACAATGGATACAGTGCGATATTTGTGATGAGTGGTTTCATAATGCCTGTTGCCAGGGATTGCAATATATTGAATGATCAGATATTGAATATTGAGACGATGTCAATATTGAATTTTTAATATTGAGATATTGAAGGCTAGATATTGATATTGATATTGAATTTTTTGTAGATATTGAGAAAAACGGATTTTGTATCATTGCTTGAAACGTGACGTTTTAACACATACACATAAAACAAATGGTGATAAAAAGTTTCTGAAATGTGAAAGAGCCTCTTTCAAAGAGGTATTACATGAACACTGATTACATTGCAAAAAAAACTAAACAAATTTAATTATATATTTCGAAATTCAATATTGAATTTGGTCTCTGGTATCTTAAAACAGTGATAATATTGAGATATTGAGCTTTTAGATATTGATATTGATATTGAAATTTCATCCTATTTGATATTGATATTGATATAGAATGGAAGATATTGATATTGAGCTCAATATATTGATATTGTATTGAAATCCCTGCCTGTTGCGGTCCACCACCTGATCTTATCCCACAAATTACTAAAGCTAAGTTACTGTTATTCAGATGCAATATTTGTGTATCAAAGAAAGCTTTACCTGTTTCTCATGTTACTGTTCAACATGCTATCAAGGAAGCTCTTTCAGAGTTACCTAATACTGTTGATAAATTAGTGAAGGACAACTTATCTACTATTTTACCTGCTGTTAACACTCAGTCAAGAGTATCTACTCAGAAACTAGAACGCAAACTTGAAATTCGCATTCAGAACCTTCCTGAACCAGCTGATAATACACAGTTGAAAAGGATGGAGTCTGATGAAAACCTTGTATCTGATGTACTTAAGCATTTGAATGAGTGGGATCGACATAGTGTATCCTCAATTAAGCGTTTGGGTCAATTCAACTCCACTAATACACGACCTCGGTCTGTTTTGGTGAAATTTTCCAATGAATGGACTGCTAGCAAAGTTCTGAAAAAAGCACAACTTCTCAAAGAATTTCGCTCACCAGTATTTATATCGAAGTCTCTAACAAGTGATGAACTTGCATTGGAAAAACTAATTCTCAAGAAACGCTGGGAATTAATCAATAGCGGAATTCCAAAGCAAGATCTGAAAATTCGGAATTTACAACTCTTTCACAAAGACATTGTCGTGGATATTAAAGGATGACTGACCAGTATAACAGTTGTATCTTGGAATGCTCGTAGTTTGGTCAGCCTTGACAAACGTTTATCCTGTATCAAACTTTTACATATCATGTCTCTTGATGTTTTGTGTTTATGCGAAACTTGGTTAAGCTCCAATGACACAAATATTTTACCTAATACAGGTTATTACACAAATTCACAAGCTGCCCGAAAAAATGGCAATCACGGCGGAGTTGCAATACTTGTGCGTGATGGTTTGAACCTGGCGGTTTGGGACTGCACTTTACCTGATTTTGATTTTGCTTGCGGCACTGTCTTAAGTACAGATCCTCAAATCCTTATCTTATCGGTTTATAATCCCCCCGCCACATCAAATTATAGAGTATCATCCACACATTTATCTCAGTGTCTGGAGTTATACACTTCAAAGTTTCTGCATGATTTTCCCTGTGGTATTATTTCTATTTTTGGTGATTTCAATATGCCAGACGCGTGTTGTATATCTCACTCTGCCACTACCGCTAGTTCACAGGCTGTGATCGACAATTTCGATTCCTCGAATTGTGTCCAACTAGTGACTGAGGCGACGCGTATTTGCGGCAACACGTTAGATGTTTTTGTTACAAATCAACCTGAGCTGTGCTCAGTGAATGTGGAACCAGACCATTTTACATCCGATCATTATCCTGTTACAGTTATTTTCCATGTGTCTAATTCTGAAAGCATCACTTCTGATTTACCTAATAACATTCCAATTTATTCTAAAAACACTTTTAACATCGATGTTTTCATGAATTCTTTAGTTATATTTGATTGCCTTTTCCAAATTTATTTTCAAATGATTCCGACTGATTTTTATCTTGCGTGGTATGATGCTATGATAAAGTCGGTTCAGACTTCTATTCGCTGAAACGCAAGAAAAGATCTATGTTACCATTCTATTTTTCTAGCAATTCCGTACATCTCAGTAACAAAGTCTCTACGGAGAAGCGTAAATTGGCGAAATTCAATTTGCTCTATTCGACATTGTTGTCTGAACTTCAACGAGATTTGAATAACTCGATTGAGCTAGACAAAATTACATTACTGTCTTCTTTTCATTCACTTGATACTAACGACTGTTTCAAAATTCTTCACAAACTTTCTGGCAGCACACCAATTCCTTCTGTTGTTAAATTGGGAGCATCATGTGCTTCTACTGATAACACCAAAGCCGATTTGTTTAATAACTTTTTCTGTTCTGTGTACAAAAGCGAAACGTTTACGTATAACGGTTGTTCTGATAATACTTCCATTAACTTGCGCGAATTATCGTTTGGTGAAAGTGATGTAAATAGTTTACTTTAAAAGGTACCAGATACCACAGCAGTTGCAGCTGATGGCATTCCACCATTTGTTCTCAAATATAATGCTGATGCACTCACGCCTATGGTATATATTCTTTTCAGTCAAATTGTTACCTGCTGTATTTGGCCCGATTTTTGAAAAGAGGCGTTTATCATGCCTTTTCATAAGTCCGGGTCAAAATCTGACCTTACAAATTATCGTGGAATTAGTATTTTACCGCGCTTATCGCTTTGCTTGGAAAAAATGCTTTTTATTTTCATTTATTCTAATGTTCGACACAAACTTTCTCGTAGACAGCATGGCTTTGTTAAAAAGCGCAGCACGTTTACACAATTGTTGGAATATGTTGAAAATATTTACAAATGTATTGATGCCAATCAAAATTTCTGTTCTGTATATTTCGACATTCAAAAGGCTTTTGACTCTGTGTCACACAAACAGTTGCTGAACAAGCTGTCTTCTTTTGGTTTTGACGAAAATTTTATCATGTTAATTTCATCTAATCTTTCCAATCGCTCACAAAGAGTACGTATTAACAATATTCTATCTTACAAAGGTTACATCTCTAGCGGTGTACCACAAGGAAGCATTCTAGGACCACTTTTATTCCTTATTTATATCAATGACCTCCCGGATGTTGTAAAGTATTCCTCACCGTCTTTATTTGCTGATGACCTGAAACTGCTTTATCGAGACAACTGTTATGACAATTTTCAGTCTGATTTAGATTCGGTAGAGACCTGGGCAACCCAAAACGGTCTTGATTTTCATCCAGAAAAAACTAAATTCATTTCAAACAATAGCTTTATTTTCAACATTTATCTTAACGGGTCAGAAATATGCTCTGTTGATCATATCAAAGACTTGGGTATTTATATCTCGCCTACTTTGTCTTGGAATCACCATGTTTCTGCGAAACTTGGTAAAGCCACAGAGTGTTTTCATTATTTAAAGCGTAATGTTCCTTTCAACTCACCTGTTAAAACTAAGCTTCAAATGTACATTTCTTGTGTGAGGTCCATTTTACTTTATAACTCTTGTATTTGGTACCCAAATTTATCAAAGCTACGTGATTTGGAAAATTTCCAGAAAAAAGCAGTAAAGTGGATAATTGGTTCCACTAATTATACTGACAGTCTTGTGATGTTAAACATACTGCCTATTTGCTATCAAATTATTTTTACTGATTGTCTTCTCTTCTTCAAACTGTTACATAACTGTTATGACTTCGATATTAATGAATATGTTACTGTTAGTGAATCGAGACCGGGTAACAGATCCAGTCAGAGAATGGTACTCTCTGTACCTCTTACCCGCAAATTCTGTTCCCTTGGGAGCTTTTTCCAAAGAACAATTCATATCGTCAATAGTGTTTTAGCAAAAGTCGACATCAACTCTACAACTACAGTCTCACAAACCAAGACTCTACTCTTCAATTTCCTTAAACAGCAACTTCAATCAACCTTCAATCTCAACAATCCATGCACTTTCTTCATCAAATGCGTTCCTGAACATTAACAATTTAACTCAAAGCTTGAATTACGCCAAATCAAAATTTCACTTTTATATGTAGTATCATTCACTAATAAAGTCTCTTCTTCTTCTTCTTCTTCTTCTTCTTCTTCTTCTTCTTCTTCTTCCTTGATGGTCAGAAATTATCATGGTAACCCAAGTTACTCTAAGCGACTCTACGAATATCCATGATTTCAATATCCTGTGTGTCTTAATGTTTCAAATAGAACTAAGTCAATAAAAATTAAATAAAATACTTTATTATATTGAAACAAGAGCTTTGGGACTACGTAACCAAAGCCAAAATTTTGCTAACAGGTTACGAAAATTAACTAACGTTCAAGTGGTTTTCACCACAAGAAAAGTAGAATCATGTTCACCATCACTGAATTTCTAATGACCTCAAGTCAAGAGTGGTTTTTAAACTGTCATCCCGCTGCTTTTTTCAAGTATTTTCCCGCGATTGTAATTCGGTTATTCTGATCTTGTTTTTCTTATATTTTCAGTTGTCGCAAAAAACCTGAGCATGACATGTCCAATTCAATTTTTTGAAAAATTCCATTTGACCCCAAAATTATGTTATTCGCATTGCTCAAGGTCAAAGTTGCAAATATGACCGACTGGCACATACTACCCGGGCTCAAAATCGATGTCGTCATCGCTTGTTGCCGTCTGCCAGTGAATTTCCAGAATTTTGAGTATAGCTCAAGATACAGTGCCAGTGGTCATTTACAGAAGTTTGCAGCAGACTTAAGTTTATCTACACCCCAAAATTCACAACCATGTAAAATTGTCACACTATCGCTAAACAGCAATCAAAATCTGCATACACCTGCTTTGCAAGTTAATGATTTA